GGGTTTCCCTTACATAGGCGTAGCCGTGGCGGGCCGCCACGGCTGAAATCTTACCGCCACGCCTACAAGATCCCAAGTTTTATTTATTTATTGCGCTGTTTCCCGAAGAAGCAGCGGGAACTACTATGTTGTCGCTTGTGATCACAGCCGGCAGGCAGCAAGAAGAAAGGAGCAGGCAGGGCAAGGTGAAGTTACAGCATAAGTTACTGAGTTTAAAATTAGAAAGGTAGCGGTGGATATAATGCTTTTTGGTTTACATGTTTCAGTAGCATTAAGATAAACGAGTGTTGACGATCTTGACAGGGTTTCCTCCCCCCACCAGGCTAAGCATCACTTATTCATGTAAAATTTATTCATTTTTTCATGTCTGACTTTAACCGCATCTAATACTGTATTACGGCGTGAGCGCAACAGCGACAACTTAAGATCGATGCGTGAGCAGCCTGAGAGGTCGGGTGTTTTCATCTGAACCCTTAAAACCTCCAGCAGGCTACGCTGCACCATTGACGTGTTAGCGCGCGGCGCTAACAACTTAGCGACGTGACATGTCTCGGAGAGAGCGTAAAAACACGTTGGACGCTTCTTCTGAAGCGGGAAAATAACACTTCTTAAGCAGAACACGGCGTCGCCTCGGCTCGTTCATGGCCGAGCCGGACTGGGCTCGATAACATTGACCCAGCACAGCCACTGGGTCGTTGGAGCTGCCCCATGACTGCCTGATGGAAAACCAGCGAGTTTCATCAGACTCGTAAAGTTTTTTGTTTTTGCTGGGGACCCCCTGTATTTTACCGCTCCCTCCTGCAGTCTTCCCCTATTAACATTTAAAATGATTCTGTAAATTCGTGTATCAATAGAAAAAATGTCTGCTTCTGCCAGCTGCAGTAAATGTAGTCTCCAAATAATAAATAAGAGGTGCATTCATCTGTGGATCTCCTTTGATCTGCATTAGTGATATTCTCAGCACCAGAACAGTGAAGCAAAGAAAGATTCGTGAGTTTGTAAGTAATTTTATTTATTAGGTGCATCTAACCTGTTCTATTTTTCTCTGAAACGAGATCAAATCAGTGCTTCTATGGGTTGTCTCCACTCTGCACTGGAAAATTTTACTTTACTTAGAGACGTGTCATAATTTCTCCCCAAGCCCCCCCCCTGCCACAGCTGGAAAAATTCCTAGGGGAAACACTGCACTTATGTTGTGTTGTCTGAAGTCTGTTGCATATTTGTTGAGGTGTTTTTTTTTTGCAGAGCAAAGCTGCCCTCCTGGTGGAGGGTAACTCTGAAGTGCCTTTTTTTCCCTCCACCTGAACCAATCCTCATGTAACCCTCTGATCTCTATTAAGGTAGCGCGACTCAGGGTTGCGAATGACCACAGTCACCAATTCTTGTCATGTGTCTTGCCCATGTATGTCTGATGTCTGAATTGTGTGTACTGAAACTCTAATTTCCCTCTGGGATTAATAAAGTATATTTTATTTGATTGATTGATCAGCAGCTTCACCCAGAGTGACCCATCGTACTTTTACACGACTGCTCGGTGAACAAGACCTTTAAGAGCAAGTCCTGCTGAAAATAAAGCTTTTTTACAGCTACATGAAGTACTGAGCTTGATTCTGGGTCTTGGGTCGTGTCTGGATTATATACTGGATAAAAATCAACATTCAGCGAAAGCGTACGGCAAACAGAACAGTCACATAACACGGCGTTGGGTCTTACTGGGCAGTTCTCTGGGAGTCCTTCTGCAGACGCTGCACCCTGACCAGGCTGGTGGTTCCCTCCAGAACCTGCTTCAGAAAGAGACGGGACAGGAAGAGTTTACAGCTCGCCACCTTTCAGCTCGGCGTCGACACAACTGCAGCTCTTTAGAGTCCGATGAGCAGAAATGAGCTGAATGGTGATGGATGGATGAGGGTTTGGATCAAATCTACGTAACGCCATGGAAAGGATTTTACTGGAGGAAGGTAAGAAATTTGATTGAAAGCATAAAAAATGTACACGGTTCATTCAACTGACTCGTTTCACTGATTTCATCTGGAGTTAAACCAGATCAAAGTAAAACAAAGCTCACCTCATCGTTCATTATCACTGCGTTTAATAAAGAATGATTGCATTAATCCATCACACTGTTGTTGTGAAAGAAGCTTTTTTAAAGATGTTGTTCCTCACAGAGGCTCGGTAAGCCTAAAATAACCTTAATGTCAGGTTAGTATGGGTTCACCTCCACTGTCTAAATAAAGTTAAACGTTCCATTTTGAGGAGGGTCCACAGTGTGTGTGTGTGTGTGTGTGTGTGTGTGTGTGTGTGTGTGTGTGTGTGTGTGTGTGCGACTAGAAGCTGCAGCACCAAGCACGAGTTACAGCTTCCAAAAGCAACAGGTCCCAGCGTTCGGCCCACCCAACAAACAGAGCGCTCTGACTGGCTGGACCCAAAATTGTTTGAGCCAATCGTAGACCTGCTGAGGTTACAGTGGAGCATGGCGAGACCGACTTGCAGAGCCAACTCTTTTTGCTACGGTTGACTCAGATTTCTAGGCTAAAGGATGGAAACTTCCACATGAAAATCGGAAAGACCAATCTACTTCTCCCGCTCTTAATTTATTCAGAAATGTAAAAAAAATGAATAAGTTGACAAACTGACTTGAGCTTTATTTGAATCTAAATGATATTTAACATTAGAACATTGAAAGGCAGCTGGAGTCATATTAACAGATGTTTTTGAATCAGTAGCGTTGATGTGTAGTATGTTACAGGAGACTAGGCAGCAGGCTTTGATGTGTAGTATGTTACAGGAGACTAGGCAGCAGGCTTTGACGTGTAGTATGTTACAGGAGACTAGGCAGCAGGCTTTGACGTGTAGTATGTTACAGGAGACTAGGCAGCTTCGTCTTGCTTTTAGCACCCCCTAGTGTCCAGTGGGCGACGGTGGCACAGGAGTTAAGTGCTCGACCTGTAATCAGAAGGTTGCAGGTTCGAGCCCCGCTCAGTCAGTAGCTGTTGTTGTGTCCTTGGGAAAGACACTTAACCCCCCTTGCCTGCTGGGGGTGTTCAGAGGGACCGGTGGCGCCAGTGCGCCCTAGGGCAGCTGTGGCTGCAGTGTAGCTCATCAGCACCAGCGTGTGAATGACTGATTGTGTTGGAAAGCACCTTGGGGGCTTCCAGGACTCTAGAAGGCGCTATATCAAATACAGGCCATTTATTATTTGTAGAACCGAAACTGTGCGTTTGTCGTTTTAACACGTTAACCTAACAGCTGAAGCATCTCCCCCAGAAGCCTAATATTCTGGCCACAGGGGCGATAGGGGCTGGGTGGCCTTTCATTAACCCCGTTAAGGCTCATTTTAGCACATAGTGGCTCAAGAAAATGTTTCAAATATGAAAAAGTTGCATAGTGTCTGCAAATGTTCAAGAAGGGAGGAAATGTGGCTTAAAACCAACCTCTTCCTCTTAAAGACGAGTCCAAATGAAAGTCCTGCCCCCGTTTAACCCTCTGGGGTCCATGGACGCGTATACGCGTCGTTTGAACAGGTCTGATTTGGGACTTTTAGCAGCAAGACTCGACCTCCCTGAGTTTCAATTTTAATTCAGCTTTAAAAAGGAGATTATAAACTACAGTGGTTATGGCTTTTATTTTGGAAATACAAAGGAAAACTCTAAATGAGTCAAAAACAGCAAATTACACCCTGGACCCCAGAGGGTTAAAACCTCTCTAAAGGAACAGACCCACAGCTCGATGGGAGGGTGCGTCTGTAGATCACAAAGTGGGACGAACCGAGGCTGCCGGTTTGTCGCCTCTTTAATAATTAAAACAGAAAAACAACAGGGGCCGTTTGCTTTATGTTGCACTGCATCCTGGGAGTTCGGTCTCATGGCTATGACTAACGCCATTAGGGTCAGGTGGCTGCTTGGCCCACAGCTAATTTCACAGGCTGAATGTAATCCGAGGACCAGTAATCCGAAAGACTGGGATCTTACCGAGGGATTCATTTAGCTGAATTTGTTTCAGCGACGGTAAAATTAGAGAACGGTCAGAGATGGAGAGTCTGGCGCCGCATTAACGTCAGATTACTAGCTATTGTGTTGGTTTGGATGGACCGCCGCAGACACGGCGGTCGTTTGCGTGACAGAATGATCTCCTTCTCTTGTCATAAATAAGTAGACAGAGTGAGGTCACCTGGTGCAGGTGTTTGGTTGAGGCCATGCTGCTCTGCTCCAGCTGCAGAGGGTCTCAGGGTCTCAGCAACGCTTTCCTAAAACAACGACACAGAAGCCTCAGCATCTCGCCTTGAACAGCCAGAGGATAAAACGCTTATGAGCTTATTAATAGAGACGCATGACAGAAACCTCGTTTTATTCAGGTGACCCAGAAGAGAAATCAGGTGGGACTAAGAGTTTTCTTTTTTTAGAGAATAACAGATTCCCGTTGAGGTTATGAGTCCTCAGCGATCGTACCTCAGAGGTGAGGATGGTCCAGCTGTTGTTTGTCCCGCCGGCCCCCGACATGACCCCCTACAGGCTGCTTCTCTCCTGCAACACAAACAAACATTTGTGACTGGAGTAAACAAAATCAAACGAAAGGACGTCCCTTTGTTCCTTTGTGCATTCAGCACCACCGCTTTTCTTCTTCATGACACCGAGAAGCAATTTCAATCCTTCAAAATAAGAGTATGTTTGCTGTATTCTGGTGGAGCCTAAACCTTTGGGGATTTTACGACGTTGTGTCCTTCTTCGTTATTAAGGGTAGAAGTCACAAAGTGTGTCGACACAAGGCATTATGGGTGTTGTAGGCCACAATGTCATTCTGAGTATTTTAACCTGGAACTAGAACTTTAACGTCGGTAACGCTTCCTTTTGAATAGGGCTGGGCGTAAACGATTATTTTTAAAACGATTATTCTGACGATTATTTTATCGAATAGTCGACAATTCTAATGACTATTTAGACAATTAATCTAATGATTATTTTTCTATTGCACAGTTAATAAAAACCAAAAAAATCTCTAATAAATTCCTCAAAAAAATGGATAAATTGTTACTGTAAGAGAATAAACACTACAGGCCTTCCATTTTGTATAACACTGCTTTTATTGTGTTGGTTGGTTATGTTCTGGTGACGTGTAGAACTTGGGAGTGCAGGCTGCTGCCTGAGAGGTGGTAGAAGATGGAGTGTCTCCATGCTGCTTTGTTTTGGTCACTTATGAGCGTGAGGCGAGTGGTGTTACGACCCTTCCTGGGGAGTTTGGTTCGTGTGCAAAAAGGAAGGGGCAATAACGGGATTTAAAAGTTAAAATGATGATCAGGTTTATTTAAAACTACAAAAAAAACCATAAACCTTTCCATCCACAGGTTGGGAATAATAAAACTAATTCTGCCTGTGGGGAATTAAAACAAAAGTACAAATAAGTAGGGATGTCCCACTGGGCAAAGTTCTGGACCAAAATAAGGATCTCCAAAGGTCCAAACTCTAAACTGGGCGGTTAAACCAAACTCAAGGTGATATTTTAAACTAAACCAAAAACCCACAACACTCTAAATGTAATAAAAGAGAGATCTGCACCACAAAAAAGATGAACTCTAAACCAAAACGTAACAGCTTATCCAAACGCAAGAAGCTGTTAGCGAAGATGCTAACGGTAGCTTTACCAACGTTAAGTTCAAGTTACCAAGTTTAAATAAACCAAAAACACCCAGCAGCACACAGACCAGCAGGGAGGAGAGACTGCTACCACCAAAACAGCTCTCCTCATGTCTGAAAGAAGCTCCTTTATGAAGGGAGAAACGCTCCCGGTGATGTTCTACATCTGCGGTAGAGACGGAGCAGCGCATCTGACCCCGGAAGTTGTTGTCCGTTGCCGGGAGACGAAGGTGGGCAAAAAAGGAAAGGAATCTAGTAGCGGACGGACTTTGTTCCGGGTCTACGGTATTTGGCGGAGATGTTAGTGAAGGCGGAGAAGAGGGCGAACTAGAGGAAAAACAGGCAGATTCCTCCTCTATTTACAAACACCTGCGGATGCAACAAGTGGGCGTGGTGCGTCGACTTCCGGATCTGACGTCGACAAATTTTTAGAATCGAGCCGTCGACGTCATCGAGGCTTCGCTACAGCCCTACTTTTGAAGTCCCCTAATTACCAAGTACTTACATGGTAATTACATAGTAAGTTAGTGTATTATTGCTTCTGGGTTCTTAAACAGTTATTACCATGTAACTCAGGTTCTATTCTAGTTTTTATTTTTATTAATCATTCCTAGTAAATACTGCTTTACACAATAATTACACTTTGTTACAATAATACACTTTAACTTACAATGTAATTACCATCTAAGTACTTAGTTATTAGAGGACTGTAAAAGGAAGCGTAACCGACATTTCCGTTTGAATCGGCTCTTTAATGACATCGGAGAGATCTCTTCCTTTTTCGGAAAACAAATAACTAAAATATTAATAATATTGGCCAACACGAGCTTGCGTACCTTTGGTGTGACATTCATAACAACCTGTAATGACATATTGGGTAACACTTTACAATGAGGATCCCTGTATTAATGTTACTTAGTGCATTATTACGCATTAATAAACAAAAGGTTCCTTTTATTATTATTATTCCCAATATTATTGACTATTAAGTGTTGTAGAGGGGGTAAATATTGTTGCTTTTAAGCTTAATATATTACCTTTACTTATGACCAATAAGCTGTGATAATCTATTTAAATATGGAATATCAACCTGCTTGGTCTTTGGGTGTTTAACCAGAAGATTCTAGGGTTCTTTGCTTTTTCAAGGATCAAACACACTTTGTCTTAGATTCAGACAGAGTCAGGTTTATAAAAGATAAGAAATTTATTTTCTAAACAAATTAAAAACAAGACAAGTTAACCAAGGCTACCGTGATGGATGAATCTCAGTGGATGGGATGTGATGTGTGGTGATTTAATGGTGTGTGTTCATCAGAACCTTGTATCTAGAAGAACTGAGTTCTGGGTGAAATGAATTTGGTTTGCATTAAACTATGACTGTGTTCTACGTTCCCCTGAGGAGACTCCTTTTGGATCCGAGATGTTGGGGGGGGTTGAGTGACCCCAAGGTACCGAAGTTCGTAGAAAAAAAATGCAGTACGACCAGGTCGGTCCAGAGTCGTCTCCTGGATCACAACAGACTTCCATCCAGCTTCTTCCATCGCAGGAACGTTGCTAAGCTGAGTCCCATTCTGTCCCGCTCTGAACTTGAGACAGTTCTCCACACCTTCTGCTCCTCACGCTTAGACTACTGTAACTCTCTTTTCACGTGTCTGAGCAGAACCTCCCTGAACCGTCTACAGGTGGTTCAGAATGCCTGTGCTCGGCTTCTGACCAAGTCCTCCAAACACACCCACATCACCCCGCTTCTCCTCCAGCTTCACTGGCTGCCAGTCAACTTCAGGGTTCATTTCTAGATCCTGGTTCTGGTCTATAGGGCCTTACATGGACAAACACCATCATACATTGGTTGTTGGCTAAGGCCCTGTCCACACGTAGCCGGGGATCTGCCAAAACGTAGATATTTTTCTACGTTTTGGCCTGTCATCCACATGAAAACGGAGTTTTTCACACGAAAACGGATCTTTTTAAAAACTCCGGCCAAAGTGAAGATCTGCGTTTTCTCCGTTTTGGGTGTCTGCGTGTGGACAGACAAAACCGGAGTTTTAAGGTCCGCAACGTCACTTTCCGCGACAAAAAAAAGCTGACATCACGTGTGTGACCTGTGTTTACACTAGCCGACAGCATGGATGCCCTCAGAGCTGCGCTCGCTTTATCAATCGTCCAAGTGCTTTTTGCTTGTTTGTTTTTGCAAGCGGAATTACTGCTGCTTGCGGAAGACCACAGACGAAGGACGAGGTTAAGAACGGGGGAAGTACTGCCGCCTACAGGTCTGGCATGCCCTTAACCTGGGACGTAATTTTGGGGGGGGGACGGGTGGGACATGTCCCCCCCACTTTTTCAAAAGGCAGTTTTGGTCCCCTGCACTTTTTTCCGTCCAAAAACAATATTACGCTCCATTAAATGGATTTGGTTGAGCACTAGGACCGAAACGGAAACCGGTTTACTATTAGACCCGCCCAAAAGCTAATCTATTGGCTCTGCTGATACTTGCTAACGTATTATTGGCTGTTGCTGCTGTCACTCAAGTTGTAAACAGTCAGAACGTGCTCACGTTGTTTTGCTAATTTGGAGCCGCTAGGGAACACCGGTACTGAGTCACATCGTCAACTAGACGCTGTGTAATATCAGAGCTCAGCTCAGCTTCCATTACATAACATTTGAATAAGTGTTCATTTGTGAGTCTTTGGTAGTTAGGCACAGCCAGGAGGCAGCATGTCAAGAAAACGAAAAGTGGATATAAGAGACTTCTTTCAAAGTCAAAACGTAAGTTGGAACATGTGACAGACCTGCATTAAGCTCAGACTCACCTCCTCCTTCACACACATACTCAAAACTAACTTTTACAAACTCATCTCCTCCACATAACTGACTCCTCAGACACAATTTGTTCGTATTATTATAATAATTATTTTTTTATTATTACTATTATCATCATAATTATTATTACTAGTAGTAGTAGAAGTGTAACTTCAAAACTTTTATCATTTAACTTTATTGTAAACTTATCTATTGCAATGTATATGTTCACATTAAAAAGCTCTGAAAAATGAACAGTATCATCATCGTCAACAGATTTTTTTAAGCTTAATGTCAAAGATGTACACTTTTCATTAGATTTATCTTATTTTTTCCATTTATTTTTTGTGTGTTGAAATGCAACAACTGTTTAAACACTTTTAAGGGAAAAAACATATTTAATATGTTTTTATACACTCAAATGTTAGGGTGATGATCATGTGTAAAACATTAGTTCAGCATGTCCTCTAACACAGCAAATGAACAAACGGCCAGATCTCAGGAGGGACCGTTTATGTATAAATAATTTTTATACTTTTGACTAGGCCTGGGAAAGTAACACATTTTGCTGGACGATATTTTGTCCAACAAATTGTTGATGATAAACAATATCATTGTCAACATTATCTAGACCAAAATAACCACTAATATAATGTTAATATATCATAATAATGCATGTACACCCTTTAAAATGCAACAAATAAACCTTCATTTAACATTGAAATGTCCAGAACCAGAACTTCTAAATGAATAAAAATAACAAACAAAAATTGAATAAAAAAGGAATCTCACTCCCTGTTAGAAAATGTTGCACCAAAAACAATAAAAAAAGACCCAAAACAATAAATACAATGGCCTATCCATTGTCAACAGCCAAAACTGCACTTCAATAATGATAATAAATAAAAAATAATAATAGAGTTGTACATTTTTTTAACTTTGATATATATATATATATATATATATATATATATATATATATAGAGGATGGAAAAATTATTGAGATGGGCACATGACGTGTCAAGGGGTCTTTACATAACACCCCCCACCCCAAATCCGCACAAGCCTGCTGTGTCCCCCCCACTTCTGAAATCAAAATTTTGTCCCTGCCCTTAACAACGTATTTATCCGGGTACGTGTGGACAGTTTGTTTTTAAAACGCGGTGGTGTGGATGCAAGTTTTTGAAGGGGCGGATATTCGTTTTTTAAAAAAACCCGGCTACGTGTGGACTAGGCCTTAGTCCCTACACCCCCAGCAGGTCCCTGAGGTCCAGTGACCAAAGCCTACTGGTTGTGCAGCACCAGGCTAAAGGTCAAAGGTGACAGATCATCTGCTGCTGTGGCCCCCAGACTCTGGACCTCTCTCCCCCTGAGCCTGAGATCAGTGGACTCAGTGGTCTCCTTTAAAAAGCAGCTGAAGACTCACTTGTTCAAGCTGGCTTTTGTATGACCTTCTTCACCTCTCTCTCTTTATTCTGCTCTCCCCACCTATTCCACCTTCCTCAGGATCCACTGGTTTCCCTCTTTCCTGTTCTCTCTCTCTCTTTCTTAACATTTTTTAATCACAATTGCCTATTTTTGCTTATTTTAAATATATTTTTCAACATTTTCTAAATGCTTTTTTATATTTTTACATTTTTTGTTTTTATGAAGCGCCTCGTGATTTTTATCTTGAGAGGCGCTATAGAAATGATACTTTCTTCTTCTTATTCAGACAAATGAAATCGTTTGCGTCTAGAACAGCTGTTTCTGAATAGCTGAGGGAACCGTTTGCCGTGTCAGCTGTAAGCAGCTTTTAGCTCATCGAAAGCTTTGGGTTAAAGAGAGTTCGCTACGGATGGCCTGTCTGTCACTTTCTCTAGAACTGACTCACTGTCCAGTGAGCTCTGTTTTAATATTCTCATATTATGATTTCTTGGCCAACCGGGACGTGCCATGTTAAGGGGTGTTAACAAGCAAACCTCAGAACATCACGCCTTGCGTCAGACACAGGAGTTCTGATTCGTGGAACAGAAAGCAATGTGTCAGGATATTAGCTTAACCTTGTCATCGTCACGTGTCTGAGTGTGTAAGCTGTCAGAAAATAGTGATTCACTTGTTAAACCAACATTACTGGTCATAATGTCAAAATGTTTCATTTCAACCACAGTAATTTAAGCACCGATTAATCAACCTTAATAATTTAAGCACAGATTAATCAAAACATTTCTTTAGTATTCATATAACATTTGGTCATTCAATCATATTATTATTTAATGATTATTTAACTTATGAGTAGTAAAAGTGTTCCTTTTCATGAGAGTGAGCAATCATGTGGTGTTATCAAAAGAAGGCTTTGTTTGGGAACACAAGCTGATATCTTGTTCCTCCTGAAATGTCAACAAGGTCTGCAGAACCTTGTTGCTTATTGGAAGCTAGGATGTAAAATCCCCTTTAGAGAATGGAATTCATGTCTGCAGATGACCGGGGGCATGTAGGTCGATCTGTGGGTGGAAACTGACCATTGCTGGACGTTACAGCGTCCTTAAGGTTAGAACAAAGGAGCAAGGGTGTGTGTCTGCTTAGCGATGCATTACTTAATATTAACATGAAGCGGTTTTGAATTTTTTATTTAATAGTTTAGAAAAGCTTAATTAAGTAACGTTAATAAAGGGACCCTTGCTTTTTAAACAAAAACGTTAACAGTAACAGGAGTGGCTGCCCGGTAGCGTCATTTGGAATCCTAGGATGTCCAAGGAAGGTCCCGCATTTCTCGCCTTCGATTGGCTAGCAGGGCTCTCCTACGATTGGCTATTTCATGTAAAAGGAAACTGCAGGTTTTTATGTTTACAGCCAGACCTAGAGGAGCTTTTTTGAAGAAAATGTGAACTCATCGATATAATAAACATCCTTTCCTGTTTAGCAACAAACCAGGTTCCGTTTCTTTCATAAAGAACCTGAAAAACATCAAATGTGAACTTGTGATAAATGTTGTTGTATTTTAATCACACTGTAGACTGACTTTTTATCTGTTGGGGTTATCTTATTACTTCATTATTAGGCTATCCTACTTTACTAGGTTAAGGCCGTTTACGCATTAGAGCACATCTCTTATCATCAGATAAAATGTGTGTAATTTAATCAAAAATTTGATAAATGCAACAAGATTATAATTCACATTTTACGTTTTTCATGAAATATAAAATATTTTGCAAAACAGGACAGAATGGTTATTATAGCGCTAAGTTCACATTTTCTTTACTAAACCCCCCAAAACAGCTTTCTGCCGGTAGCCTAATAATAATAATAATAATAATAAGCCGGTTTGCTGCTAAATGAAACAGCCAGTCATAGTAGAGCATTTCTAGCCAATCAGAGTTGAAAAAGGTGGGATCTTCCTTGGACATCCTAGGATTCCAAATGACGCTGCCCGGTAGCACAGTTGGAGCCTTGACAAAAAGGGTGGCAGGTTTAAATCCTGCCTTTGAACACAGTTAGCATGGTCTCTGCATGCATGTGTGGGTTAAAAGTATGAACAGTTATTCTATCGACTGTCGCACTTTGGATCAACGATCGTATGATTGATGTATCAATGTTATACTCCTTGCTGGAGATAGACACCAGCGTCCCCCAACCCTAGTGAGGAGGAACTGGTCTAGATGATGAATGGATGAATGTTATAAGATTAAATGAAACATGAACTACCTTCTGGGGTTACTGGCCTAGGGTTACTGGGGTACCTCTGAAACTAGCCCAGACCCCAGGGAACACTGGGCCTCCTGCACCTTTAAGACATTTCCATGCAGAGCATTTGAATACAAGCCTCACCCATTCTACAAACACAAGACCCACGGTCACCTGCTACCAACATCCTCTCAGTGTGCACGCGGTTTTTTCTCCCTGTCTCAGAAAATTCAGCTCTTCATTAGTAGTTTGTGTGCGCCGCGGGCCTGGAGGGCACCCTGGTCTTTGACTAGTTGACAAGTGTTTTGGCACAGACCTGGGTTACCAAGGCCCACACTGTTCTGGAGTCTGAGGTAGCTAAATGGGCCTTTCATTTAAAGTTTTTGGTCTGCTCAATAGATGTCTACAATCCACCAACTGTTTACTGTATGTGTGTCTCCACGAAGGAAAACAACTTTTACATTAACTCGCTCTAATCTTATTTGCATTGATGGGTGCTTTACAGAGATAAACCAATCAGACGTGTTTATCGTCTGATTTTGTGCCAGAAAAGCAAAGAAATCTAGGCGCTTGTGATGACACACTTCACTCCCCAAATTCGATTCTCCCAGCTCCACAATTTAGGTCTCCCAATCGAGTGGCTCCCAAGAGAGGTCTCTGAATCTAGCCTAAGGCCCAAGGAGCATTGTGGAGCTTATAGTGGGATGTTTAAATAGATGCCAGCTAAATTTAGCCATCCTGAGATTGACTAGAGACAGAAAGAGGGAGCAGCCGGAGGATGGCCAAAGGCAACAAAAGCAGCGAGGACAGTTTTAAACCAGATTCACACGAAACTGGCTTTACTTTGTGTTAAATATCACATTTAAACTCTAAATCTTTGAGAGCCAAGAAAACTTTTCAAACAGAAGCCCCCATTTTTTTTGGTCTATACCTAAAAAATACGCAACAACAGCACATTTACTTTATTTAGAGGTAAAACGCACCAGAACTCATCACAGCAGTAAGTCTTATCTGGTCTTTGCAGGAAACGTGACCAAAATGTCAGAGGAACTAACTACATATTAGATTAGGAGGGAAACAAACACGCACACAATCCCCACCAAAATGCAGTCATTTATTTTTAACTTAAAAACGTGAAGAATACCCCTTCATGTCGAGGATAAATCTAAAATAGTTCTTAGAAAACGCAGTTCAAGTCAGTTTGATAGTGTTGTATGCATTACGGTTTACGTTAAGGAGAATAACGTTAACACATTAAACCAATATAACCTTTTTTCTGATTGACCCAGGAAAACGTGACGTAGGCGGAACCGCGGAGGAACAAACGCCAGCAGCGCAGATATCGGTACGTTAAAAAGTATTTATAATAACTGTAAAACTCAGGTTATTCTTACCGTGGTCGGCTTTTATTCACTTCAGACCTCAAAATGTCTCAGAACCGACGCGCAACACTCTTCCCATCCAACTTGGGAACGAGTCTCCTAAACTTCCAGAGCCACACACCTCCTTTCCAATCAGAGTCAGTGATCGGTTTAACCCCGCCTCTCTTTAGCCAGTTTGACCAATCACCGCGCGGTAGAGAGTTTTCTTTGCTGAGGGAGTAAACTGGCTTGAGACGCTGCGCGCCTCTCACCCAATCAGAGTTGGGAATAGATTTGTCCCACCCCGTTTTTAATCAGCTCAACCAATCACGGCGCTGCGTTGAGTTTTATTTGCGGAAGGAGCTTTAAGAAGCGCTGGAGAGGTAAACACGATGGACGATCCCGTCATTTATTTTAATCTAAAGTTTCACCATGAAATTCCGTCACAATAATCATGTTCACGCTTCATTAAAAGCTCGTAGATGCGGAATAAATCCCAGAGTTGTGGACTCAAATCACCTAAATGGAGACACTGACTGAAGCTGGATTTGTTGAGCTCAGTTCAGCTTTAAACTCAAGTTGGAGCAAGTCAAAATAGGTTAACATGGGAAATACTAAAAATTAGATGACCGGTCATAAAACAAACTTGATAGATTAAAAGAACTAAAACAAAACTTTTAGTTGGGCTTTAACCCAGAGATAAAGGTTAAAAATAACATTTCATCCAGCTGAAGTGATATTTCGGTGCTTGTCAGCTGTGTGTTCGTTAGTTTTGTATAATGAAATTGCCAGCTGTTCTATTTAAATTTTTTGTCTCTGGCTCTTATTGTTGTTGCTCACCACACCTCAGAAACTAGAACTGGCCCAATAGCTTAATTATCCTAATTATCATAATTCCTGACATAATATAGCCAGACTGTAAATTCACATATATAGTCTGGCTTGCCAGGCTAGCATTTCTGCTCTTTTTTGCAGCTACTCTACTTCAGTTATTTATTTGGTCAAACACTTGTTTGGGAACTGAGGACTCAGCTCTGACCTGGGAGGTTTTGGACTTAAATTGGGACTCCGTCATGCATTACTTGCTGGTCTTGAGACTTGGACTTGAGTCATGTCACAGAACTTGAACTCAACATTGAGAATTGAGCTTGAATTCAGAGACTTGTCCCACCTCTCATAAATACCATCATTTTTAACGGTTTAGCTGAAAATTCATTCATCGTGCCCTTTGTTAAGTGCACCTACACCACGTTCAACACAAATGAAAATAAAACTCAAACTAATTAGTTCATTTATTTATTCATTAATCGTCACATCGGTTAACATCAAGGTGGCAGATCTCCAGAAATCAGCACTCCGTTTCTGCAAAGTTGAAGCGGAAACTTCTCGTGGATCTGTAGCATCCTACAAACACTAAAACAAATACAAAAAGGTTGAAAAACCTAGAAAAACTGCCGTAACATCACCATCAGATACAACACCAATTTAGAATACAAAGAGTTTATTGTAGTATGTAGAAGTACTTTATACTTACTGGTACTTTCCCGGAAGTGTGGATCAAACTGTAATAAAGAAGCCAATAAAATTTAAATAAAAACTCTTCTAAACATAATTCCATTCGGCTCATCAGTCCAGGATCTCTTTGATGCACCAGCAGCAGAGGAGGAAATAGAGACACTCTTTAGCCGACTGGATGAAACCGTAGGCAGCATTCCCACCGAGGAAGCTCTTGCTCCGTCCCAGACCCATCGCCATGTCCCGGAGGTGTTGTCCCAGAGAGGAGGAAGGCACGGCCTGGGGGAGAGGGCGCTGAGGGTGCATCGCTAGTGCCGTCAGGGAAATCCAAGTTGCTGCTTTACAAACAGGATCAGACCAGGACTTCACTGGAGTTCAGCGTCATTGTCTTACTACTTATAACTTCCTCTCCAACAGCAAACTACCTGCACTCACGTCCAGGGCTTTCTCTCCGAACGCTGCAGCCTTTGTTTACCGTGTGTTTCATCTCTGCACGGGTTACCGGTGGAGGTCTAGTAGCTTCAGCACAATCCCACCGGATGCTGCTCTTTGTGCAGAACAGTGTGTGTCGCTCATTCACACATTCTAGCAGCTTGTGCTTTGTGGCCTAAACAAACTAAATGCAAATTCACAGCAAAACCCAAACTCATAAAGGGAGATGGATGATATATTTATAAATGCAATCTATATTTTCAGGTACAGGTGTAAACAGACACATTTCCCTAGAACCAAACCAGAAACAAAACAGTAAATAGAAAGCAGAATGATTTGTGCACGAGACTCAAACGTAACCGTTGGCTTTGGAAAGCTTCTAAGTAAAAACAGCATCAACATGATGACCGTCATTGGCAACAACAAACTACTAAGTCTTAAAAAAAAACATTTTTCATGCAACAAAAGGCAACTGTGATGAACGATAACCGGTTCTGATGGCACACAGGGTCAGAAGCTCCCGCGAGCATGCACACACACACGTACACACAGCTTTTCCTATTTATGATCCATCTGAACAGCTGTTGCTTTGGCATGTGTGTGTGTGTGTGTGTGTGTCTGAGACACTGACTCCAGGATTTGACTATTGACGACATTTAAAGATAGTTAAGATACTTTGAAGTGGGTTACTTATGAACGGTTAAAGAGCAAGCCCCCCCCCCCCCCCCCCAATCAACTTTTTTTCTGATAAACTATACAAGTGTGTGTCTAATCGTGCTGCAGACACGTTTAACACGTTTTGTTAAAATTTAAATGTTCTGCCTAAAACTGTCAGTGTTGTGCCGTCGTCAGGTAAAAACTCTGCACTGCATTTGAATTTAAATCTGCCATCGCTATTGGCTAAGAGGTACCCTAGAACGTTAGCTGGTACCATATGATGTCACAATGTCATTGTGAGCCTGTGTGTGTGTGTATTTGTTAGCGGCTCCGCCCTTTCAGTTTGCTAGGCAACAGCATTTGTTGCATTTTTCAAACACGAAGTGGGAGTGGAGTAATACTCTGATAGGGGGTGACTTGCTCTTTAATAATTCCTGATGTTGATAACACATGCGAACAGCCTAAGTTCAGAGGTTGAGTTTATTTTCACCAGACTGACATGCTAACAGCTAGTCTGACCAAGACCAAAATTAACTGCTAATTTTAAAACAACCCGTAAGAAAATCTCCAGTTAAACCAGGGGTGCCCAGTCCTGGTCCTGGAGGGCTGGTATCCAGCAGCTTTTGTGGTTTCTCTGTTCCAACACACTTGATTCAGTGGTTGAATAACCTGTGCAACAGTTCATCAGGCTCTACAGGAGCCTGTTAATGACCTGCTGATTGAATTCAGGTGTGCTGAAAAAGGGTTAAAACTAAAACCTGCTGGATACCGGCCCTCCAGGACCAGGACTGGGCACCCCTGAGTTAAACTAAAACTATTTAGTAAACTTTCACCATTAACTTCATGATAGTTAATTCTGATTACTCATTAGAAAATATCAGCCGCTGCAGGCAGCTAGAAAGGTTAACGTAAACCGTGATTAAGACCGTGATCCATTTTGATCTTGGCCCTGTTCAGACTAGCCTTTAGCTCATCAATCCTGTCCAAATTAAGCTCCTTTCCTCCAAACAGAGGTCATTTAACACAAGATAATTACCTTTTTACAGAATCCCTCTTCCTAAAATCCGAACCACCCCTTTAATGTTTAGACTCCCTTTTCTCAACTCCAGATTTTGGTTTCAGTCTTTTAGATTTGGTTTGGAAATCGACCACCTCAATGACGTACTGTCTGATTCTGTAACTCGGCAAACAAGTCCTTAAATACACAACGAAAACAACAATCCAACACCGGATCAAAAATCAATGTTATTTACAGGTGATCAAGAACACCCCCCACCCCACCCTAAAGGTGACATCAAGTATCTGTGACTAGGAGCTGAATGCAGGAATGTGCATCAGAGGAGATTGCCATCACCGGCGCCGCTCGTCGTTGTCGGAGCGCCGTTTTTGCAGATTCTCCTGCAGATTTCTACATTTGAATCGAGTTCATAAGGTGGCTGAATTTAAAAAGACATGACTGCATTGAGGAACCAAGGCACCGTAAAAGATTTAAAACATCGTGAACCGAGGAAGGAGAAGACGGCCTCGACTTCCTCCAGCGAGGAGCGACATCTGGCCGAACATGCAGTCATCTAGAGCCACAACTCTCTTTTTTTAAATCCCTCACAAAACACAGAAAAGAGACAATCTGTCCACGACGCATGCTGCTTTCGTCCTGCAGATGGAAATTATTTGCTTAGAACACTTGAAACATTTCGACGAGGTTTTCTTTTCCTCTAAAGATAAAACCCAAAGATTGTCGATGCAAACACACACCTAAGTATTACTGAACACAAACCGCCTTCTGAAAAGTTTTTTTTGTTAAACGTGTGTGTGTGTGTGTGTGTGTGTGTGTGTGTGTGTGTGTGTGTGTGTGTGTGTGACTGACATCAGTGTACTAAAAAAAAAAGAGAGAAATCTCCTTTTGATGCCAGATTCAGGCCCAGGCCCATTATGACTAATGAGTTAATCACCCACGGCTTCCTTCTGCCGCTAGCAACCGAGTTCCCGATCTTTGGCGTTGCGGGCGGTGTCGAGTGGATTTGGTGTGCGAAGGGACATACAGCTGTTCTAATCCAGATGTGTAAGTGAGTGACGAGACTGAACAGAAACAAAAGAATGATCACAAGGTCTTTAGTATAGCAGTCCCAGATTTGCATACAGGCTTTTCTCCAGGGGTCAAAGTTCAAGTCCTTGATCGGGTGTTCACCGGAGGCGGTGAGGCTCTCCTGATGAGACAGGAAGCGAACTTGTGTGTGCATAATTCAGAATTCCTCCTCGAGTTCTCCAGCAGGACTGGAAGAGGTGGAGCTTTAAGCTCGGTGCCGCCCGACACCAAACCACCGCCACCTTTCCATTCGCCTGAAACGCTCCGGCGATGCTCTGAGGTGGGGGAGACTTTCCCTCCCAAACACAGAGCCGTGATCTAAGAAGTCTCGCTCTACATCCACTCGTGTCCCGTCCAGGTTCCACACATGGTAGCAGCTCTGATTCGTAATCTTTGCGTGTTTTTAGAACCTGCTGTGATGTTCATGAAGCGTTCCTCCCTGGTTCACAGCAGGTAGAGGAAGTTGCAGCGGTGCTTCTCGGCGGCGGACGCCGGCGCCTGACGGTTCCTGAACGCTTACAGCTCACAGTTTGGCAGAAAAGTGGCAACAGCAGCAAGAAAAAGTGATTTTTGCAAAGAAACTGGTGAATGTTTCTGGCTTGTGTGTGATCGTTTTTAATGATGAGTGTAGTGTTGCTGTGTGGGCTAAAGCGTGTGACTGTTGATTTTTGGTGAATTTATTTCCATGGTGTGTGTGTGTGTGTGTGTGTGTGTGTGTGCGTGCGCGCCCTTAGGCCTTGCGCTCCACTGGCTGTTGCAGAAACACTTCGCTCCCGGCGGACACGATGGGAAGCCTGTTGTCCATGTGGTAGCTGATCAGGTGACTGACGCTTACGAACCGGTGGTCCTTTGTGCGCACCTAAAAAGACAAACGTGCGTTACCTTCCATGCACCTAAACACAAGTTTATCCCAGCGACGCCCTTTGACCTTACCACTCCCTCTGGGTCCACTAGCAGCAGGTGTTTGGCTTGACCCCCCTGCTGCCCCGTAAGGACGTACTGTCCGGGCGTGGTCCCGGACTCTCGCACCAGGAAGTCTCCGTCTCGGGTCAGCAGCCTCTCTGCTTCTTTGCGATTCAAGCTGCCGTGGAACCAGACTTCGTTGTGCAACTGTTTCGCCATGGCAACCAGTGAGTTTGGGCCACCGTGACCAGGAACTCCAAGGGCATCATCAAGTGGTGCTAAAAAGAAAACACACACAAACGTAAAAATATACTTATGTAACTGCACCATTCTGCTGGAGCCCGGCGGCAGAGGAAGTCCGTTAGAACCATCCGGATTTCTGCAGGGAGGAACAAACTGGCCACAAACCAAGTGACAGAAGCTCACATCGATTGTGGGCCGCGTCTTTAATGGAAAGCTCTACGCAGCCAACCAATAAGGTTTTACAAAATGCACTTGTAATGGACAAACACACTTATTGCCTCATCTTCCTCCAGGCCTTTTCTCTGGAGAAACTCTTCAATTTGGATCAGTTAGAAGGAAATCAAAGAACAAACTACTCGGCTCAGCTCTCAATCTGAAGAGCAGCCGTTATGTTATCACACTAAAACTAGGAGAAAATGTTGATTTGCTTAGAATTGTAGCGTCCAGAAATGGTCGTTTTTCATCTACAGTTTGACCTCTTCAGTATCCGGTCAGCTGCAGACATAAGTCTGCATCTGTGTGCCCCATCTAATATTCCTAGCGGCAAGAAAGGTTCTACAGTGTGTGTTTATACTTAGTCAACATGCTCCCTTCCCAAGGTTCTTCTCTGCTAAGCTGCTGTTATCCGTTGCTTGCCTCACAGAACAAAAGATGGACTTTTATAATTAAATCGTAATTAAATGAACTATATGGTTAATGAAATCAGGTAATGAACGGACAAGGTGTTAAATGAAATGTTTTGATTAATCTGTGTTTAAATTAATAAGGTTGATTAATCTGTGTTTAAATTAATAAGGTTGATTAATCTGTGGTTAAATTAATAAGGTTGATTAATCTGTGTTTAAATGAATAAGGTTGATTAATCTGTGGTTAAATGAATAAGGTTGATTAATCTGTATTTAAATGAATAAGGTTGATTAATCTGCGTTTAAATTAATAAGGATGATTAATCTGTGTTTAAATTAATAAGGATGATTAATCTGTGTTTAAATTAATAAGGATGATTAATCTGTATTTAAATTAATAAGGATGATTAATCTGTGTTTAAATTAATAAGGATGATTAATCTGTGTTTAAATTAATAAGGATGATTAATCTGTGTTTAAATTAATAAGGATGAAATGAATGTGTCCTTTCAATATCCATTTGTCTGATAATAAGCGTACGTGACTTGACAAGCACACACTCATACACATGACAAGATGACAAGGTTAAAGTAATCTCATGACACATTGCTTTCTTATCCACAGATCAGAGCTCTTGTATCTGAGCAAGGTGTGGTTTCTGAGGTTTGTTAGAAAACCTCCGTAACACGTCAGATTCTGATTTGTCAGAAAATCATAGCATCGAGAAAACTGGAATCACTTCCCGAGTTGATTCAGTTTGAGCAGAGCTCTGGACCGGTCAGCCGGAGCAAACCTCTTTGAACCACAGCATCTTTGACAAGCCGTCAAAGCTGACACAGCAAAACGGTTCCTTCAGAACCAAGCCGAGACGACTTCGACTCCATAAGAGTCCAACCGTTTCAGATGCAAAACGAGTCCACTTGTTTGTTGTGACCTGGAGACGACTCTGGACTGACCTGGTCAAACTGCGTGTTTTTTCTACAAACATCGGTACCTTGGGGTCCACGGACTCCCCGACATCTCGGATCCAAAAGAGAGTCTCCGATAAGGGTATGTGGACACGACAAGATTGCGTCTGATGTGTTTTTATAAACCATCACTTCTAGCTTAATGCAGACCAAATTCAATCCCACTCAGAACTCGGTTTCTTCAAATACGAGGGTTCTGATAAACATCACATTACACTACAACAAAACACTCCGACACACATCAGTGCTGTCACGGTTGTCATGTCTTATAATTTGTTCACGAAATACATTTCTTAATTTTTATAAACTTGACTTGTGTGCTTACGATCCCTGAATTACAAAGAATCCAAATTCTTCTGGTTAAACATTCAAGGATCAGTCAGGTTGGATTTCCATATTTATATTGAAATTTACTTCTTATTGATCATAATTAAAAACCCAAAATACATCTGTAGGAATGCACTACATATTTCACACACAAGTGTTTAGTACTGCTGTGCTCCTACTCTGCATGTTTTAGACATTTCTCTGCTCCAGCCCACCTGGTGGTGGTGAACAGGTTTAGAACAGGCTGAAGACGTCGTTCGGCCGCTGAATCGGGAAAGTCGGAGCGAGAAAAACAAACATCTGGAAAGTCCCAGCTTTAAACTCAACCGTAAACGGATACGTACTCATGTCTAAAGCATCTCTGTGAGCATTTCCATTTGACGCAACTGGAGGGCGGGACTTATCCACGTTGACGTATGAGGGATCGTCAAACAGCTCTCGAGCCCCGTCTTTAGCGCCGCCTGAAAAAGGACACACAGTCATCAGGGAGATTCAAGCAACCTATCAGAATCAGAAAGCTTCATTTGTCCCAGAGGGACTTGGTTAACTAGAGACGGAGGGATCGTCAGGATTAAAGACTAAAGAGTGTTTAATTTCTACCACAGGAATAAACCGAGAAACTCGGGAGAAAAAAACCAGAGATCTGAATGAAGCATGATGACAAGAGTCTTCACTCTGAGCCTGATCAGGTCTTCTGAAGCGAAGCAGCTGCTGATGAGCAGAGCTCACCTGGTAGAGGAGGCAGGGGCTGCTTGTGAATGTCACTCTGACCTGGCTGTCCGTAGGGCTGCGCACGCACGCACACACACACACACACACACACACACACACACACACACACACACACACACACACACACGTAAAAACATCAGCTCATCCTGTCACGCTGGTTTCCTACGATAAATGTGAGCATTACTGGGTTTGAGGACATCAGTCACATTAGGTCTGAGATTTAGCGGCGTCAAAAACAAACGTGGTTAATTATCTCTGCTAGAATAATGTCTGAAACACGCCTCTTCCTCCTCCTCCTCACCAGCGTGGCTCCGGGGCGGGTCCTCATGTCAACCAGGCCGCCAGGGGGAGGCGTTTTTCCAGGGAAATTATTATAATAGGGGACCTCCGGCACAGAAGGGAGAATGAATTCATCATCATCTTCCTCCCACGCCGAGCCGTCGAATGGAGCCATCCTGACAGAGATGGGAGGGTTACAAAAGAGGCTTCAGATCTACCAACTACAAGGCTGAGCTGCTGCTCACCGGTCGTGAGGCGTGACCAGTTTGGGGGGGGTCTTCAGGTACTGTTTGAACCTCAGCTCAAACGCTTGGCCGATGGTACTGATGACCTCCTGGGCTAAACCCTCTGAGCACTCCAGGATGTGACAAGCTGAAACCGAGGAGGGAAACAAATAAGAGCAGCACGATGTCTACAGATTAAAGGATTACATGATGAAGATTATTCCAGAGGAGTCTAAACTGAGTTGACGTTAGCATGTTCTGAGAGAACAAAGCAAGTCAGAACCACAAGGAGACGTTTCACTCATCTGATGGATGCGTCTGGTCTGCGGTCGACCGGGTATTCGGCCTTCGACCGGGTTCTTTAAAAATACGAGTGCAGCTAAAACCGATTAAACACCAGTTAACGTAACGTTTTCTCTGCTTCATGAAGGAATGACCACTCACACCTTCATAAAACCGGATTCACAAACAAATAAAAAACTAAGGAGAGATTTAAGTCATTCACTTGTTTCAATAAATCTGCAACAGTCTCTGGTCTGAACGATGGCCTTGGGAGTTTTCTGTGGAAAAAAGCTCTGGCGCCCCTGTTTCAGGAAGTAGTCTGAGGAGGGGAAAACGGTCAGAGTTGGAGTCTTACTCATTAATATTCATGACATGTGGCCGTCTCTCCTCTGATTGGCTAACAGCAACACGACTACCACCGACTCCGTTTGATCTGCAACGTTGATGTTTTATCTCCACAAACAACACAAGCCTGGAGGAGTTCTGCTGTGTGGTGGAGTTGCTAATGCTAACGGTTAGCTTCTACTGGCTGAGACGTTCTCTGCGGTTTCCTGTCTAAAGGAGTGTGACGTTTTCAGACTCGAGCGTGTCCCTGTCCCTGTTTTCTGTCGGTGGTTAATGCAGGAAATAGGGGCAGAAGACTCGACTAATACTGTATGTTTCTCACCTTTGATGCATAATATAAAAAAACCTGTTAAAAAGAGCTAAACGGCAGGAATGGCATCAGAAGAAGAGTTGGAGACTAGAACAAGAGATAAATGCGAGCTCCGATCGTCACACACAAAAATAAACTTTTACTTTTCAAACTGCTCATAAACCTTTTACCTAATCGATGTTATTGATGCAAAACCGAGATAAACGGATGCATCTAGACTAAATCTGAGAAGTGCATGGGCCCACGGCTGCATCTGTGCGTTTATCCTCACATCCCTAACCTCCTCCGTGTCTCTGCTCACTGGGTTTGTGACGCCAAAGCAGATGAGCCTTTCATGAGCACGATGTGACTCATTTAAGTTCCAATGAAAAAACCGTGCCCCATTTATTTACAGTACTTGCTGAAAATGTCATTTGAAGTTCTGATTAACCAAACTGCTCTAAGTCGACACAGGAAACGGCGGACTCCTGGGTGAGAGGATGTGATGAAGGTCTACAGAAACGAAATAAATCTCTGATTTTGTTCTAACTGACATGTCCAACCTCCAAGGGCGCCCCCAAGGGGTGGCCAGGGGTGGCCATGGCCACCCCTAGAAAATTGCTGCCCCCCCCAGGAAAAGCCAGTGTTAACAAATCATATTAATGTTCAGTCAAACCATATTTATCTTGTTTATTCAGGACATAATTGTAAAACAAAATAAAAATATTATAATTAATGAGTAAAGAAATAATCAGAATAAAAAAATATACATTTGTTTCTGCTGCTCACCATTAAATTTTTTTTTTTATCACCGTAGTTTTTTTTTGTGAACACAGCAACACACAGGTGAATAAACCTAAAAAAATTTAATAAAAATTGGGGTAACATTTTAAAAAAACTGAAATGCATTTTTCTAAAACGTTTGTGTTTGTAAAATTTAAAGTAAATGTTTTGGATACGTACTGTTACTTTTATAAAAATGAATAAAGGCGCAATGCAGCACATCTCCACAGACTAAACTCTCCCAGTTAACACAAGGACCAATTAGGTGTGCCACCCCAAAAATTTCTTTGGCCCCATCTGGCCACCCCTACCAAAATTTTCTGGAGGCGCCCCTGCCAACCTCTGCAGAAATGTTTGGATTTTTTTTGCTGCTCACCTCTGTGGTTGACTGGATCTTTGGCCACATATGCTACGTACTCAGCTGTATCCTGTGGGAGCGAGACGGGGGAGTGCGGTTAGAGGAGGAGCAGAGAGGGAAAAATCAATACAAGGAAAAAGTGAAGGCCAGGTTTGAGATTGAAAGGACTGAGAAGGAGAAGAAACACGGGAAAAGAGACAACACCGAAGCTTTAGTCATAACAAGTTTTGAATGCGAGTTGGAAAACAGCAGCAGGAAGTGATGCGATGGAGGCCAGTGAGGCAGCAGCAGAGCAAGTGGAACTCAGACAGGAAGGAAGAACATGCCACTTGAAGAAAGGCCAGAGTGAGATTTGAGCTGAAAGAAAGGGGGGGGGGGGGGGGGGGTGACTCACTGGGTCTCCTCCTGAAGCAAAGGAGATGGACTGCATGTGATGATTGGCGATAATCTGCAGAGAAAAATAACAATAAGGCAGAATGAGAAGAGAGAATGGATGTGAGGAAGTCTGTGGGAAGTGAAATAAAAGTGTGTGGATGGAGAGCGGAGTCTGGGATCGTTACGGAGAAAGCTGCTGCTCGGATGGAGCACCTTTTTACCCGTCTGCAACAGCCACCCGTGCTGAATCAATAACGGCATTAAGGGTGGATGATGCTCAACAGAGTGGTTTGTGTCTGCTTCCTCATCTGTGGATGCGTGCTCTACAACATGCTCATTCTGTGTGTTAATGCTCCACACCAACATACCGCCATCCCAAAGATAGGCACCACTCAGCGGCTATTAGCTCATTAGGGGCCCGAGGAGAGAATCGCATCCTGTCGGGTGCCAGCTCCAAATACCACGGTCAGTCAGGAGGAGTTTGTGTTGCATTAAGAGCAAACCAAGTGGGATGACTCGGGTTTGTCCGGGTTTCACTAAATGACCTGTTCTCATCAAAGCATTCAGCTGGGATAGAGATCAGAACCGTTTAGCTATCGAAGTCGGAAAGTCCCAGAACGCTAAACTTTTAACAAATAAAGCCACAGTTTTGGAGACTGGAGCCATTTTTGTGCCGGCTGTGGTCCGAACGAGCTGAAGATGGTATGAGGTGTAGCATGAACCTATAAGTGGGACAGGAGATGCTTTTCTTGATCAAGCTAACTACTTTCTGAAAATTCACAACTGGAAGGTCCAACCAACCCCCTTTCCCCCCTTAAGCCACACCTTCAGTATACAGAAACGTGAAATCCTTGTTCCTGATTTGTGTTTTCGACCCGTTGTTGGCACCTTCAGTGCCATAACTCCTAACACAACACACCTAAGTAACCGCATAACAACTTAATATGCTAGCTATCACAGCGAGGCGTTGTTTTGATGAAAAACGAGACGGCTTTTAGCTTTCGTGGTTTTTTATTAACTTCAAGATCACAAAGCTCGGTACCACCAACAGTCTGGGGAAAACCCCACAAACAACCGGTCCACAACCCAACCCGAGCCTCCCGTCACACGAGCGTTGCCAAGGCAACTGACTGATGGCTCCACCAGCCGACAGAGGACAGGCTTCGTTCCCAGACAGTAAGTCCGTCTCTGAAATGTTTCCCAGCAGCAACAGAACCAGACTTCAAAAGGAAAAGCAACGTTCCGTCGGTTACACCAGGAAGCCCTGCTCAGTCATTAATATCCAAAACGTTCACCATGAATGGATGAGGTTTTCCAGGATTTCAGAAGCAATTAAATATTTCAAAAAAATTTTAACAAAAAATTGATTTAGCAGTTGTCATCGGTAAGAGTGTAGGAAAAGTGTTTCAAGCAAGAAAAATATAACGTCTCATAGGCCTACCCCCGCTTTACGTCCTCCTGATTGGTTTTATTGGCTATTAATGTGTTCACAGTCCAAGTTTAGGTTACCAACCTCTGTGGAACCACATGAAACTCTACTCTACTCAAGCTAGAGCAGAAAACTCATAAAATCAGGTGAATCTCTGACTCACGACCTTCAGGAACACATCAGCTCAGAGATCTCTTCAGAAAACAGCAGAGTCTCCAACAAACGGCTTTCCGTCTAACCTCTTTGCAGTCAGAAGCCAGCAGATTGAGGCTGCTGGTCGAGATGGTGAGGTTGATTGTCATGCCCGCAAACTGCAAGTTACTCTTTCCCAAGATGGACATCAAACCGCGAGGGGCGGGCTGCAAAAAGCACAAACATACAAACCATGAGTTACAAAGTACAGAGCAAAAAGAAAGCAGAAGGCCTTCATTTGTGTGTGTGTGTGTGTGTGTGTGTGTGTGTGTGTGTGTGTGTGTGTGTGTGTGTGTGTGTGTGTGTGTGTGTGTGTGTGGGAATGGAAGAACAGCTGCAATTGTGAAAGCGATCTGGTCTCTGAGACAACTGTGACTAACAAACAGGAGCGTCCGCACGAGGTGGGCTCGGCCAACATCACACCGGCCATTCCAGCAGCGTTGTGTCACAGCAGACCCTCCCGTTTTCATGGCTTTCATTCAAATTCGTAACAAAACGGATAAAAAACACAGAAAAAGGCTCCATCAGCATCTTCCTGAATCATGAGTTTCATTCACCCTAGTTTTTCCGTCTCCGCTTCCAGACATTCCTCCGTCCGACCCAGCAGGCAGCTGGATTTAGCCACCTGTTTTATGGACGGTTGGGAGGAGGGTTATAGTTTTATACACACACACACACACACACACACACACACACACACACACACACACACACACACACACACACACACACACACACACACACACACACACACACACACACACACACACACACACACACACACACACACACACACACACACACACACACACACACACACACACACACACACATCTTTAAAGCGGAGACTGCGTCTGTTAATGTGAAGTGTTTTTTCGCCAGACGCTTTAAAAAGGCGTCCCTTGTGACAGGAAGTAGGGAGGAGAGAGACCCGAGAGCGACTGGTTAGTCAGCGACCTGTTAGTAGCCCACTAACCACACCTGTTAGTAGCCCACTAACCACACCTGTTAGTAGCCCACTAACCACACCTGTTAGTAGCCCACTAACCACACCTGTTAGTAGCCCACTAACCACACCTGTTAGTAGCCCACTAACCACACCTGTTAGTAGCCCACTAACCACACCTGTTAGTAGCCCACTAACCACACCTGTTAGTAGCCCACTAACCACACCTGTTAGTAGCCCACTAACCACACCTGTTAGTAGCCCACTAACCACACCTGTTAGTAGCCCACTAACCACACAAGTGTACAACCAGCGTAGAACAAGTTCTCTCTGTGTGACCGGGTACTTAGACGTGAGCTTCCACAACCATTCACTTTTGAGTTCAGACCACTGGACTATTTGGATTAGGGTAAAGTTTGGGTAGCGATGGTCAAAGATCAAAGCGTTCTCATAGCAATTCATTCATTCATCTTTATTTTACTAATGTTTTCATCACCTTCAGTTTCTTGTTATTATGAGTGTGTATTGGCAAGAATCTGGTGATAAGGTAGCCTAGTGAACTAGACTACGGGTGTTTCTCAATGCCAAGGAACCCTGCCTTCATGTCTTGGCCCCGCCCCGGTTGCCTAGGAGATACGTCATCGGGAGCCGCCAAGACGTGTTCCAATGTTCATGTTCTACCGAGGCGTGTGTTCTCCGTTTGTTAGCCGTTTAGCTAGCTGAGCAAGGACACACGGGAGGTGCCTTGTAGCCTAGCCTTGGTCAAAAATTACCCACAAAACACCGCAGTATTTTTAAAAGGACGGCGGATCAGAAGCCGGCAGCTACTTCGGGGTCAATTTTCAAGTTTAAAATTAAGTCAACTAATTTAAAATGTTTTTTTAGATCCAAAGAAGTTATCTATGGTTGGTTAGTTGCTTAGTAGTTGCAGATTTGGTGGCTAGCGGGTAGTAACTCACTTATATTTTTAATTTATTAAACTTATACACAATTTAAAAAGTAAAAGGCTCGTTATATATTTATATTGACACTTATACCCGGATGCTTATGCTCCCGAATGACCGAGCTTCTCGCCCTGTCTCTAAGGGAGAGCCCGGCCACCCTGCAGAGAAAACTCATTTCGGCCACTTGTATCCGTGATCTCGTCCTTCCGGTCACTACCCAAAGCTCATGACCATAGGTGAGGGTAGGAACGTAGATCCACCGGTAAATCGAGAGCTTTCCATTCCGGCTCAGCTCTCTCATCACCACGACAGACCGATACAACGCCCGCATCACTGCAGACGCAGCACCAATCCGCCCGCCGATCTCACGCTCCAGTTGGAGCCATACAGAGGTGCAAATGAAAAATGGTTGGTGATCAGAACGGACCAACTTTCAGCACAGCCACTATAAAACTCAAAATCGGACATTTTTCCTGGCCTATGAATATAATAATGCTTTACTAAGCTCCAAGTCATGCTAGTAATTACAGGTCTTCTATTCGTGAGCTTTAATTTTCACAGTCGTAATTGTCAAGTTAATCTTTTCTTTTGGTCTTCTGTGAATTTGAAGTCTTTGAGATCAGCTGTAATCGGTTTCATCAGAGCTGTGCAGAAACCAGAAACAACCGTGTTGCTGTTGTGACCAGCCCTGTAGGACGCAAGCACCACTTCTCCAAACAAAGGCTGTTCAGGAAGTCGTCCACTATGAGTAAACTAGTAATTATTTATAACTTCTAGGCAGCAACACACTTCAGAATACTTAAATATCCCTCTGAAGCTGAAGCGAGGTTACGGTTAGGCGTTAGGCCTGGGAATACGACGCCCACAGATGAAACACAATGTGGTGTGTCTCTAAGAGGATGGGGAAAGCATGTGACTAAACATCCAACTGACCACAAGGTGGACGAACAGGCTAATTCAAGCTCTTAACCAGAAAACCTTCCTCCTGCTGTCCACTCAGACCTCATCCATAAATAATGTTCGGTGAGAGCGTGTTCTCGTGTGAGTAGCATGTACCTTTCTCCTGCGGGCTCCTTTGGCTCCAGGTACCGCTTCACACACCACAGAGATAGCTTCCCTGGAACGTTAGGAACATTAATGTCACAGTTTTCCTGGATGCATTCAAACGTGGATTGAAATAAATCAGGGCAGCTGGTGGGATAGTTTATCCCTGGCAGCTGCCCTCCTCTTTGCCACAGAAGCAAATATTGCTATGGAAACCACAAGGAAACCACCAGGATTCCAGAACATTCTAACTTAGGGCTTCAGAAAACAGCAGGGGTGTGTATACACACATGAGCCAACACTGTCCGACACTAACGGAGATTAAAAAAAAACAAGTAAGCAGAAAAAAGAGAGGAAGTGGGACAGAACGTGAGCTAGCGGCCATATGAGAGGTAAAAGTACTGACACAAGGTTACGGTCTAACCCCTAGATCACTGCAACCAACACTGGTAATACAATATTATGCAAAAGTCTTGAGTCATCCTTCCTTTCAAGTCAGCCAGACGAACGGTTAAGGTGGTATGAGTCAAATTCCTCTTTGCTTTCTGAATTTTTCTTTGGCTGCTTTATCGCACTTATCACATACGAGATGCATCTGTTTTGTTTGGCCAGTTCACTCTGATCTGTGTATAACTCTGTATTAAAAAGTCTCTTAAACTCAAGTTTGTAGAGGGCCAGTTCACATCTGGGTCGGCCCAGCTCGGTCTTGTTTAAGTCATTTTGCCCCCGCAAGTCCAGGTTTGTCCTCCTTAAAGCTAGCCTGGCAAGCCAGACTAAATAAATGTATTATTTAGTCTGGCCACGCTCCATTGACGGCTCTCGGTTGTGGGGCGGGTTCTACCGTTGTCTACTGGACGATGAATGTGACATACTCTTGTTTCACTCTGTTGCATCATCCCACCCACCAGGCATATAGAGGGCCCTGATTGGCCCACAAAGCGGATAAAGCTCTGTGATTTGTTCACTAAGCAGATAGAGCACTATGATTGGCCCACCATTATGGACCAATCACAGCTCTTTATGTGTTTGAAACCCCTCTAGAGAGCTGTGATTGGCTAGCCAGAGTCCTGGTAGGAGCTGAGGAGGTTCCAATGGAGCATGCCTAGACCATTCTTTGCAAAGCAAGAATATGGTCTAGTTCACTAGGCTACCTTAAAGCTGCTTTCTGGAGTTTTCCTCTTTCAGAAATGATGTATGATTTGTCAGAAATCCGCAAAAGTGATTATCTTGCCATGTACTGTGTTATCATGTAAGCAATACGTCATGTTTATTTATTTTTTTTGCTAAGCACGCCCCCTGCCCCGCAGAGCTCCGTGCAATAGGAAACTGAGCGCTGACCAGAACTAACCAATGACGTCAGGCTACCGCTTGCTTCAAATTTAAGGGGCACCTCGGCTGATGCAGAGTTGATGAACTTTTCACGAACAAGTAAGTCTCTAAAATATAAATATGAGAACACAACATGACATGAGAATAATACTCGTAAAACAACGTGTTTTAGCTGTTTGTCGGCTACAGAAGCACCTTTATAAACAGAAACGTGAAGTCGCCATCTTAAAAAAACGAAAGAGTGCTATATGCTTGTCAGCCACTAGATGGCGCCATCGGATAAGAGAAATACTCCGGAAAGAAGCTTTAAACAAAAGGGACCGTGAGCGGTGTTGCTTTTCGAGACTCTGACATGAAGCGCACAGCTTCCTACTCTCAATGAGTGGAGCTGCTGCTCGTGCTCCTGCGGCTGGAGTGGAACGTCCGAGCTGCAGTCAGAGATTTTTACTCCAGACTGATAAATAAAACACACATGCGGGAAGATGCCACTGGCTAATTCTACCCACCAATCAGAGGCTTCCTCTAGTAGGTAGGTGTGAATGTAAGCCGGCCAATCAGTTGTTAGTGGATGTGTTGGGCCGGCTCCGCACCAAGCCGGTCAGCTGAGCACGGAAAACGCACAGATAACTCAGACGTGAACATAATGACCCTAGCCGAGCTAGACCAGGCCAACCCAGAGCCATAATGGGGCATTTCTACAACTCAGCGCAGCTCAACTCGGCTCGACTCTGAGTGGTTTTACATTACAATGCAACAGAGAATGGCTCTACTGGGTGGGTTCATTAGAGCGGAAAAGTGACGCAACACAAAGCACAAGCTGATTTGTGTGTGATACCAAAACTCAACACAATGCATCAATGGTGGAGTGAAGTTGAACGTTCTGTTTAGGCGGAGGCTTTTTGTCAGCATCAGTGAAGATACCTGGAAAAATCTGTCGATAACGGTGGAAAACTCTGGAAAAACCAGTGACTCCGCCCCCTAGCCAACCAGTGAGCAATGGTCGCCAGCGTTGTGTTTTCAGCCTGGCTTGGTTCGCTTAGAACCACATTTAAGCGGGTCCTGAAAACAGGGTGTCAAGAATTGACCTGCTAATGGAAATGGCCTGGAGACGGGTTGAGCAGTGCTGAGTGGGTACTGGTGGGAAAAGCCCACTAGTGAAGAACCAGTTTGGTTCATTAAGACAGAATTTTTTGCCCTTTGTTTTAAGCTGAATGCAAAAATACTACCATGGACGACACAGTTTAAAACAAAATGGTTTCTAATTTCCAACAAAGGGATTATATAAAGCTGCTAGCTGAAAACTTGTGACTCATAAGAGCCGAATCTCTCAGGTCCAGATTTATGTCTAATGGATTCCTCCCCTAAAGACGTGACTTTCAGTTACCGCTCTTCTGCTATTGACAGTTTTTTAGGCCTCACACTCACTTTATCCTATGCTTGTCTACTTTCCCAATCATTTAGGCAAACACTGGACAATGTGCTCTCTCGGTACAAGAGCTGGACTGAAAATGGGGTAAAAAAAAAAAAAGCCAAAGTCCAGAAATACACTTCAAGGTTTTTTAGAAACTGCATAGAAATCTTGAATGAGACAACTTCAATGACTACCAGGAACTCTGGTTCCTAGAACCAAGAACGTACAGAAGTTAAGGCCGGTTTAAGCTGGTACTGCAGGATAAAACGAGGGCGGAGAAAGTTGTGTTTACTCTCACCTGGTGACCTGAGTTCTGGTGTTGAAGTCCAGTGCTCTCATTGACTGTAGCACCTCCACACAACCCATGTACTGCCCAGGAAACAGGAAGGGGACACATTCAGACCAGACATTTCCTACACGTGGGCCAATTTTAGCAATGGCAGACTGAGAAAACAAGCTGAGGTAGAAAGGAATTGTACACTTTGCGTGATACAAAGATATTGGAAAAAATTTACAATGATAAGCTGGAAAAATTTGTAGAAAAAAATGGCATTTTATTAGACAGTCAGTATGGTTTCAGATCAGGTAGATCTACTGCACAAGCTCTAATGGAATTGGTTGAAGACATATCCACATCGCTTGATCAGAAAAAATATGTTCTGGGAATTTTTATTGATTTGAAGAAAGCCTTTGATACAGTCGATCACAAAATACTTTTATCAAAAATGGAGAAGTATGGTATAAGGGAGACAGCTCTCAATTGGCTAAAAAGTTATTTGAGTAACAGAGCTCAGTATGTGCAGTTGGGCTATCACAAGTCTAGCTGTCTCGAAGTTCACTGTGGAGTTCCGCAAGGGTCGGTACTTGGCCCAAAGTTATTTCTGTTATATATAAATGATATTTACACAACTTCAAAATTATTTAAATTTATTATGTTTGCTGATGATACAAATATTTTGTGTTCAGCAGAAGATATACAGCAACTTATACTAAAGGTCCAGAATGAATTGAGTGAGCTTAAGAATTGGTTTGATAAAAACAAACTGTCGTTAAATGTCAGCAAAACAAAGTTGATGTTATTTGGAAATAAAAGAAGTAGTAAAGAAATCTATTTGACTGTTAATGAAATAGCCATTGAAAGAGTGTATGAAATTAAGTTTTTGGGGATATTGATTGATCATAAGCTCTGTTGGAAGCCATACATACAATATGTGTGTTCTAAATTAGCCAGAAGCATTGGAATAATAAATAAAACAAGATATTCTCTACCACAGAAAGCACTACACACACTTTATTGTACTATGATTCTACCATACTTATCATATTGTGTCGAAGTATGGGGCAATACTTATAAATCTAATTTATTAAAGATTTGTGTTCTCCAAAAAAGAGTGGTAAGGATAATTATAAATTCTGGATATAGAGATCATACAACTCCATTATTCTACAATTTAAGATTACTCAAATTTTTTGACTTAATTCAATTTAAAACTGTCCTTGTACCGTATAGGGCCATGATGGGTGTACTGCCGTGTAATTTGCAAAGGTTGTTTAAAACTCATGAAGAGGGTTATGAATTGAGAGGCGTTAAAAACTTCATTTTTCCATTATACCGAACAACTATGAAAAGTATGTGTGTATCTGTATGTGGTATCAAACTGTGGAACAAACTTGATGTGACTTTAAAATTATGTAAAAACATTAGATCATTTAAAATGTTGTATAAACAACTCATAATTGACTCATACATAAATAGCAAGTGATAAAAATGGTAATTGGCTTCAAATGGAATATTTTGTTTTTGTTGTTTATTGGTTTTGTTTTCTTTTTCTGTAGATTCATGTGAACAATTGTTTTGTAACTGTCTTTTTATGTAGCAACTAGCAAGGTGAAGATAGAACGACCTGCATAAAGAAATTTTTTTTTCTTTCAAATTTGTTAATGTGAGCAAATGTGATTTATTAACTGAATTGGGGCTGGACTAGATAAGCTTTTGCTTCTTCCAGTTCCCTCTCAAATGGTTTTATGTTATTGTATGTTTTGTATTGTTTCATTCAACAGCATATGTTTATCGTATTCCTCATTTAAAAAAAAAAAAATTTTTTTTGTATGCACCAGGAATATGGGGGAGTGCATATGCAATTTCATGTTTTCGATGGTTTGAGATAAATAAATAAATAAAAAATAATAATAAAAATACAGGCTGGACAGTTGAAGTGTGCCACTCACTCACCCGAACAGTATAGGAAACTCCCGTGGTGCTGATCACGTTGTCAGAATGCAGCCAGCCACGGGTGGGCTTGTTGACAAAGGAGCCATGGCGCGTCCACTCGTCTCCTCCCAGCTGCCCTCCTTCCACCCGTGCCCTCCTGGACGCTCCTCCGAGCCGGTTCATGTCCTGCAGAGGAGGTCGGCGAGGGGGAGAGGGAGCAGTTAGTGTGGGAATGGGTTGATGAAGAGTAGGGGAGGAGCTAGAGTTGCTCCTATCATCTCCAGATGACTCAACAGGTGCCTGGGACTGCTGAGACCTGTTTGAGAACCTGGGCACTGGGAGAAGAGTGCCAGTGACCCCGAGACGAAGGGATCTCATACTGGGGAAGAAGGAGCAGAGGGTGGTGGGGCTGTTCTCAGCTGGGCGCGGGGAGGTGGGGGGCAAAATGGCAGTGAGAGACGAGGAGGAGAAGGAAGAAGGCAAACCAGGGGAGGGAGTCAGAGGGGTGGCGGGGCTGGATGGAGGGAACGGCGACGGAATGGAGTTGGTCTCATCTGTTGAGCTCAGCGACTCACTCCGAATGTGGGTGTACTTGGTTTTCTGCATGAGCTCCATCATGTATTATTTATAGGTCCTCTTAGGCTGCAGAGCTTCAAGCCAAGTCTTTTTGTCTCACGACTCAAAGTTTTTCTCTGGAAGGACACTCAAGTGTCTGTCTGTGTAGGAGCTGCGTCCATCTGTCCGCCGCTCAGGCAGCCCGCACCAAACCGCTTCACAACTGGCTTTATCCACACTGAGAGCAGGAGGAGAGGAGGTGCTGCGGAAAGGTGGGGCCTCCTCAGCAGCGGTGGGGAGCAGATGAAAAAAGTGTTGTAGAGCACCAGAACAGCTCATGTTGTCATCAGTTTCTTTTGGTGTTTTTTGCTTTTGTTCGCCGAGTTCCCCTGAATGGACGAAAACACGTTCTCAGCTCTCCGTAGAGCGATGGTCTTCAGCCACGATGCTAAACGATTTCTCGTCCCAACTTAATCGTCTCCGAGTGCCGGACGACTATTCAGCTGTCGCCAGCACCACGACGAACCAACACAAGTGATTGTCTCTGAATGCTCCTTGTGCGTGTGTGTGTGTGTGTGTGTGTGTGTTACTGCACAAAAAGGTGTGTACATCAGTTTGTGACGCGTCTACATGGCAGTGTAAACCGAGTGTGTGTGCGTGTGTGTAGCAGCTCCCCTTTGGCAGCTCTATCACGCTTGACATAGGCCTGTAAAATTCCTATTAGCAGCCAACAAGGGGATTGCAGAAGGGGCTGCACACGCTAACACAGCAGCAACACATAAAACACAACCTCGGCTGGTCGATAATACAGCGAACACCTGCAGAGCCACGGAAGAAGAGAGAGGAGGCTCTCAAACTCTGCAGTCGTGCAGTCGCTTCAACTTTTCACGACTATTCTTAAATCTGGCTCCCCTTTCTACTCCCTCTCCCCCTTCGTCCAGATGCTTTCATGTCCTCTCTGAATGGCCCTTGCTCTCTCCCTCCCAACGTCTCCTTCTTCTCTCCTCTTCCAGATCACTTCTGGTGAAGACTCCCTTCCCTTCTCTGAGCTCTTCCCTCCCTTCTCTCTTTCTCCTCTCTTATCCTGGAAGTCCTCTCTCTTCCTCCACACGATGTACTCTGCCAGCCTCTGCTTCTCCAACGCCTCCGCCCTCTCCCGTGCCACCACTTCCTCTCTCCTCTTCCAAACGATCTCTCGGTCCCCCTCTCCCCCTCCCTCGATTGCTCGCCCGTTCTCCAGGCTGCCTTGTTTAACAGTCCCACACTTGTATGCTAAATACTGAGCCCTGTCGTTGCGCCTCTTTACGTTAAGGACCGCGGATGGCTAGAGGCTAGACATGTTGGCTTTAGACGCCGATATAAAACCAAAAGAAAGTGAAAAGTTAGTAATTAAGACTGGGCTTAGAGCTGAGCCCGTTCCTGACTGAGGTTCCTGAAATGGCCTGCCTTGGTTCGTGTGTTCTGTAGAACTGGCCACCTTGGTCACGGTGTGTTTTGTTGCTGGAGCACCATTTGATCGTGGTAGAGTTGAGTCTGAGATGTCTGTCTGGTACAGCGAGACACACTGCAGTAGCACAGTGGTGATGTAACACGGCAGAATGTAGGTCATAGGATGACGATGACTACCGGTGGGCCTGTTGAGACGATAACAAGCCCTGATTGGTCAGGCTTGGACCCCCAACTTAGGGTTCCCTGAATGGAGACCCACTGGTGTTGTAAATGAACCCGCTGGGTTAAGACTGCACTCAGCTCCTGACTCGGTACTAGCATGGACACAGATTATAGTTGTTTACCTGAGAGAACAGTATTGACACCGATATGAACGAATCGCCGTGCTATAATCCAGAACAGCGTCCCTATTTTTCTAAGGCTTATCAAGCAAGTTAAGCCCACAAGCATCTCATATTCTGCATAGTCCAATCTAAAGTACAGTCTGTTTTATTAATAGTCTCCAAAGTGACCTCAGTAGGAGGCAAGGCCACACCTACAACCCTCAGCCAGCCGGCTGGCCTACACCTTAGTGCTGTAGAGGCATTATTCAAACGTACAACACACCAACCTTTACAATCACCAACAAATGACACACTTATTATCCAGACAAGTCAAATTAAGGTTGTGAGTATGGCACTGATGTCTCAGTAATGCCAACACTTCCTGTTGTCATTTCAGAAATGAGCCACAGCGCTCGAGGCTGTAGAAGGCGCTGGACGCATGGCAGAAGGAACAGTCGCCTACATTAGTCTAGCACCACAGAGGGACTGTCCAGCAGTTCTAGCGATCCCTCCATCTGGTCTTGGCCAGGAAGCACCAGGAAGGATCCAGTAAATGCACTGCCAGAGAGGCTGGGATGTTCTCCAGAAAGCTGTAAAGAAGTATGGCTGACACCCAGTGTTTAGACCATCAAAGGGACGCAGAATACTTCAAAACAAAACAGTCGGTCATACAGCTAGAGAAACCAAAGATGAGCACAGAGAGAAGATTAGCACTTCAAAAAGGCAACAGATCGGATAAACGGAGGAAACTCCAGGTGTTGTTGAACAAAGGGCTGCTGAAAGGCCCTCTGAGCAGAGTCAACCCTCTGGTTTTTGTTTGTTTCAGTACACAGAACACAGTGTAGGTCAGGTGACTACAAAGGGCATGACCCTGGACACCAAGAGGAATCCTCCTGAGTCACCGTCACATGAACAGTAAGCGTAACGAACCGTCACCAACAGGACAGCTAATGAGTGGTAATCAGAGGCCTTGGGGCCAAGCAGCTGCTCCCACTGATGTGAACAAGAGAAATCAGAGTGTTAATCTAATTTATCCAGTCACGCCTGATAATAGCTCATCAGCCTGACTGATGAGAACGGCTGTTGCCATTAAAAGTGGGCGGAGCTGAAACAACCCTGAACACAGCTGAAAATATACAAAAACGGTAAAAAAAATCTACGTTTTGTTTTATAAAAACCTAAAAAGCATCGTAAGAACCAAACTTAACCACAGACTACTCTAGCCCTACCTATGGAAGTTAGCTAATGGACCAGCACTAGGCGGTGTCAAAAGACAAGAAAAAGACTTTACATCTTCTGTCTGCCGCCGCTGCCCGTTGCTATGGCAACAGACATTAAAAGAGATGCCTGCACAGGATATGTGCCGAGAAGTCCCGACAAGGGTGGGAATCTTCAAAGAGATTACTGTTTTTTTTTTCTTTTACAACCCTATGGCAAGCAATTAGCTGTTGCAGCAAACACTTTTTTGTTTGCTTGTTTGTTTGTCTGACAGCAGGAGAAAAAACAACAACTAGAAAAGATCAATACGGTTCAGGAGATGATCAAAGTTTGACCGGCATCACGTCGGCCATAAAACCAAATCAATGTTGACATCCCAGACTGGCTGGACGCCCTGACAACAACCAGGGCACGTAAAAGCGATGTAATCTCAAAGGCTGATTATCGTTTCCCTAATAGCCGCATAAAAAACAGCTACACTACAGTCACATATCCAAAACAACCAAGGTTAAGAAAAGTTGCATAAAAACAACCTGAATATTCTGTGCAGCTGCTAAAAAAAGACGATTGTTTAACATCCTGCAGAGTGGCGTCAACGCTCAGAAACTAGAAAATCAGAAGTCACAAAGGTGGTCTACGTTTACAGAAACCAGAAAAAGTGATTTTAGAAATGAGTCTCTCTGCCTCGTCTTTTTTTAACGAACTGCAAAACGGCAGCAGCTCATTTTTTGGTTTATAAAGCGTGCGGTCGATCATTCATGGCCATTCATCTACAACTGGGTTCATCTTCTTTTTTAAAACCCCGTTCACTGTTCTGGACACTGTCCGGTCATCCGTCCTCTCCTCCTGCCTTTCCGTTTGTCCACTCCCCAGAAGGAAAAGGCAAAGCGTGCTCTCCTCTGATCCACTCTTCTGCTTGAGAAATTCACAAAGTCACTGCCGGCAGCTCCTTTCCATCTATCCTCTCCTCCGGGTTGCCGCTTCCTCGTCTCTCCTCCTCTGGTCTCTCTCAGCAGATAAAAAGGCAGCGCTGCCAGCGTGAACAGTGGCACTCCTTCATTGTGCTCCTCTTCTGTTTCTCGTGCCCACTTTCCCTTCCACCTCCGTCTGTTAGAGGATCGAGCACGCTGTCTGGACCTCCCCTCCTCCTCCCGGTCTGCCTCCCATTTTCTCCCTTGCCCTCTCGCTCTCCCTCCCTCTCTCTATCAAACACTCCGCGTGCGCCGCTGCATCATCTTTTCTCCCATGCTACCTCCTTCCTGTTTCCTCCCCCCACCTCCTCTCTGCAGCCAGAGTTATTCGGCGCCGTGCATGTGCATGCACAGCGAGATGCTGCATGCTAATGCACACCCTCTGGGGGAAGAGATGGGGATGTGAAAGAAGGAAGGAAGGGAAGCGAGGGTGGATTTGTGTGTTTGTGTGTGGGGAGGACGGGTTTGTGGCTGTCCAAAACTCTTTCTTCCTTCATTTTCTGTACCTGAGAAACCGAGTTAAAGAGTCAGAGGAAGAGGAGGTCATGAACCAGGATGTCACTGTGTTTAGCCTCCACTGAAGTTGACATGTTTAAGAGAAAACTTGCTAAAAGTAAATGTTCACGACGCTACATGATTACAGCTCTAAAAGGGGGAAGTACAGGAATCGGAGATCCTACAAGCATATCTGATGAGAAGGAAGTGTTGCAGAAAGCAAAGTGAAACCCAGCCAAGTGGAAAGCAGAAAACCCTCAAATGACGCCCCCACACCAAGTCCCGGCAGAGCGACGCTCGAACACCACATCATCCACATGTGGTTCAACAACGTGCTCAGGCAACGTCAGGCCAAGAGTCCGTCAGGGTGACGGAAATCACCATGAACGAGTCCTAATGCTGGTGACAGAACCCTCCACCCATCATGCCTACAACCAGGGAAGCACGCGGCACACAGTGGCTTGGAGTCATCGCAATGGTACTGTGGAAATATTGGAATATTTAACCCTCCCACTGTCTTTATGGGTGACCCCGCAAGGAGAGTTGACCATTGAGCAGGATTGATGGTTTATCCCTTCAGGACCACGTGGCAGGGGTGAGGTGGTGCTCATTCCTCACCTCTGCCACATGGACCCAAGTGGACGATAACTACAGGTATGCGCAGAAACAAAGTTGTCCACTAGATGGGGCTGTCACGTGTTGAGTCTCATTTTTACATGACTCAAGGTGGTGCAGCTTCTTAAAGGGGCATGAACGCTGCCCACCTACACACATCTTTTCATTATTTATTATCAAATGTATTGACGTGGGAACAATTATTTCAATAAGAGTCAGAAATTCCGATAATGATAAATTTTCGATTTACTGCCCAGCCCGACCTGAAACACACACTGCATATCCACCAATCACAACCATTCTTGCTCCGTTTGCTGAAGAAGACCACGAGGGTTCCTCAAATTTCATTTGATTTTCGTAGCTACAATTGGTTCAAGCTACATATGTGAGAGTAGTGGCGGGACTTCTGACCTGTCAGCGGGGGGGGGGGGGGGGGGGGGGGATTATTCATCTGCTCACGAGGTAAGGTGTTAATCCAAAGTTAGAAGCTAATATGAGGATGCTAACCGAGGTTAGGCTGAGAAAACTATATGCAACTGAAGGAAATAAGTGTTTTCAGCATTAGATTATGTTGGCCTGTGGCCGTGGGACTTGATGTGGACTATTATTAAACCCTTGTGGATGTAAAAAGGCCGTTTTTATGCCAAGATGGATCTCAAAGTCCAGTAAGATCCAAGTTTTAGTGTCAAAGCCACAGTTTCCCACATCTACAAATAAACTAGTCTTGTTTCAACGTGTGTTCTTCTCACCAGTCGGAAGAAATTTTAACATTACTGAACCTCATGTCGTCACTCCAAAATAACCGCAACCTGCACATCCTAAAATTACCACAAGATCTTTAAAAAGACTTCATCAACAAAATCCTTTTAGGCGTTGTGAATGGCTGCTGCTAGAGACTGATTTGGTACAATCCAGTTCAGACTGAATACGGTCGTTTTCGGTTTCTAACAGACCACAAAAGATGCCTTTTAAACTGTATGTTGGAACAAATTAATATTAGGAGAGTTTATTTTTAAAAGAACCAGGCTTCGTTTGAAAATCCGTTCTGCGTGATGCTTAGAAACTATTCCTCCTGGTGAAAAGGTCAAATATGTTGCATCTCAGCACGTATCACTGCACAGCTTATTGAGAATGAACCAAATTGTGTGTTTTGAAATCCATATTTCAGTTGCAGGAGCAACTCCTATACCACTGTGTGACACGGTGTTTCCAACAGGTTGGTTGCATGGTTTAAATATCTTACCATATATTCCATCGCCCCACACAGGCTGCCTGCAAGTCAGATTAAAAAAAACAAACAAACAAAAAAGCAAAATGCACATCAGCACACACAAAACAAACGGAGCCAATCACAGCAGGCTCCCATTGCAGCCTCGCTCCACCCCCCAGCATGCTTTGCTCCGAGGATCAGCTGTGGAGAGGATCACGGGACTGCCAGGCAGGGATAGAGCAACACAGAGTGGGAGAAAGTTACAGAAAGTGTGAGAAACAAAGAGCAAGAGCGACAGGAGAAGATGGATAATCCAGCGAGCCCGTCGAAACACATCCTGTGGAATGAAAGGAATTAGCAGCAAATGCAGGATGTTTCTGCCTCGGCTTGCCCAGCGCCGGTTGGAAACTGTCGAGTCCTCGGAAGCTGCGTCGCGTTTTAGTAAAAAGCATCTGGACGTCGTGACCCACACACTGCTGTCTGATCTCGTTTGACCTGCTTCCATCCACTCAGTTTAAACACTCAGCAGAAGGAATTATGCAGAAGAGTTAGCTCGTGCAGGTTGTGACCTTTTCATGTAAAACAAATACGCCTCAGCGTGAACGCGGACCCGGAAGAATGAGAGTAAACTGATACGAAGCAGCTTCATTGCATTAGGGAGGAGAGAGAGAGAGGGGTCCGAGGTAAACATTAGATTAGCCTGACGTTCAGCAGGACGTCTGCTGGTTTCACGGCTCGCTACGCACACAGCAAACATGTGAGGTGGCTATTTTTGGTCCTGCCCCCCCCACCTCTCCACCATCCCTGTTAGCCATGATCCTTCATCCCTATCTCCTTCCATCATTCCCTTCCTGCTTGAACCCTTCAGCCTGGCTCCGCTTACGGCACACTTCCCTCCCGCCCTGCCAGCTCCTAACCCTGTTTTCCTTCTCAGGTGACTCAGGTCTTCTCAGATTTTTTTATCAAGACCAGCACATCCACAAAGACACGCCTCAACATTCTGCTTTTGTGGGGTTCATTTAATAGGGTTGATCATCTTTTAGTGTCAACAAAATAAGAAGATTATACAAGCATGTTTACTATGTGAATCTATCTTTTATAGCTTTAATTACAACTGTCAAAAAACAAACGTGTGTTCACACTAATATTCATCCATCCATCCATCTATTTATCCATTTATCCGGAGTCGGGTCATGGGAGCAGTAGCCTAAGGCGAGAGGCCCAGACTTCCCTCTCCCCAGCCACTTGGGACAGCTCCTCTGGGGGAATCCCAAGGCGGTCCC